CAAGCTGGCTTTCAACCTGTTTCTTAGATCAAAGGTGCTAGAGTATGAAAATGCAAAAGCTATTCATAACCTGGTGGAGGGAGAGGCAATATATTAAGTTATTAACTGACATTAATCTTTTAATACCTGTTCATTCATCAGATTAACTATTGGTAGGTTTTCTTGTTTAGGTTTAGGCAACTCCTGTCTCTGATTCTGACCCACTAATTAATATTGATTGACTCCATTCTAGTTCTGTGATTTCATGACTGAACAAATTCCTAAACTTCTTTTTATCTGGCCCCTTAATTCTTGCATTGTCATCCTTTCTGCCTCAGATGATGATCCTTGATGCCAGATTCCATTCCCTTTTGGTGGTGTGTGATTCTGAGTACTCCCAAACTACTAGATATGTCTAAAGGTCACTTAGGTGTTCTGTGGGTACCAGGGAAATCATCTTTCTTATAGGGAACATGGCATTGCCAACCAACTGGAGTCATGATATGTGTGATACTGAGATTTTATTTTATTGTTTAAATAAATATGTGTGTACACATTTAAAAGTAGGTTAGGTAACTCACTGTTTATAGTTGACCCTTCCTTAAAGAAGGGAATCTCAGTTTTTTTGATTTTCAATATGTCCAAGGTTTTGACATATCTTCAGACATGATTCAAATACCTAACTAAGGAGGAATAAAATTTACCTTATTTGTGCCTTTCTCGGTGACTTTCTCAGTTGGAGCTCCTTCCTCAAAGAGAATTAGGACAACGCAGTGGTTTGGAGGCTGCTAGATAGCTTGACCGATAGCCCACCGGGCCTGGAGTCAGGAAGACCTGATTTCAGATCCCACCTCATACATTTACTAGATGTGTGACCCTGAGCAAATCATTTAACCTCTGTTTGCTTTAATCCACTGGAGATGGAAATGGCAAACCACTCCAGTATCTTTGCCAAAGGAACCCCATAGACAGTATTGACATGCAATGGTCCACAGGATCACAAAGAATCAGCCATGACTGAATAGCAACAACGATGATTTAGAGCCATTACTAACAAAGAGTAGATTTCTGTGCTAGAGAATGGCAAACCAAAAAGAAGGTGGGCAGAGCAGCAACTTCTTCATTCTCCAAAGCAATCTTGATTTTAATCAATTATAGCCATTTTTTTATTTGGTTGTTGACAAATCCACTCAATGTTGCAATTCCCCTTTCAAGTTCTATCATACAGACTACAACAACCTTTTGTTTGGTTCTAAAATTAAAAAAAAATTCTAGTTACCTTTTGTTACCCTAGGTACAAATACCTTCCATACATCATCTTGTTTGATGCTTGCAACAACTTTGTGAGGTAGGTGTTACAGGTCACGTAATATCCCCATTAAAACAAAACAAACACTAAGGCTTTTTTTCATTAATGTAGGAAGTACTAGGTGAGCAACTTCTACCAATCAAGATTTAAGCCTTCTCTTCAACTTATTCTTAATGAGTTACTTAGGGCATTGGAAAGTTGAGTGACTTTCCAAAATCACACATCCAGTATGTGGCAATAGGCAGTACTGGAACCAAGTTTTTCTGACTCTACGGACAACTCTGTATGCCCAGTCCCATACTGCCCCATTTAATATAGGAGACAAGTTCAGAGAGATTTGATGAGTTGGCCATGGTTGCACAAGCTATAAAGTGCGAAAGGCAGAATTCAAACCCAGATCTCTCCTGATTCTAAATTTACTGCTCTTTCGACTGTACTATCATCAATATGAGATGGAAATTTTAACAAGTTTTGAGGTATGTAATATTGGCTAAGACACTGTGCCTTTCTGGGCCTTAGCTTTCTCATTTGTGAAATGAGGAAGTTGGAATTTGATCCTCTTAATCTCTTACCTTCTCTGCTTCTGGAATTCCACATAGATTAGGTTTTCTTTTCAGGATTCATAGAAAAAGAAAAGCTGCTTGTTTAGGAAATTTCATTAGGATTTATTCTAAGGGAAAGTGATGACCATTCTGTAAATTATAAATTCATATTGACTTTTAATAGGTTGGAAATATTTATAGTAACATTTTACAGCATGTCATTTCCCAGTGGGTTTGAATATGAAATACAAATGAGGAGATAGTAGGATTACTCAGTTGTCTAAAAGAAAGTCTGTGTTGATTCAATAAGCTTTTCTTGTATATGATTAAAATGAGTGATTACTTTAATTCAAACTACCTTTCCAAATACAAAAGTAAACATTTATAGTAGAGTATTTATCATTAGCTATCAGTGACTATATTTGGCATTACTTTATTCTCCCAATGGTTTTATAGTTAAAGACCAAAGATAATAATTCTGATAATAAAATAACAACTTTATACTTATATAGCAATTAATGGTTTTAAAATCCTAGTCTTCATAGTGGCCCTGTGAGCTATGCCATTCAAGTTTTGTTATTCCCACTTTACAGATGAAGAAATTTAATTAAGTGACTTGTGCAAGTTCTTACAATAACAGTAGGTAGCATTTATATGATGTTTTACGGTTTGTAAGACAGTTTATACATCTTATCTTATTTGAGCCTTACAACAACCTTATGATGTGGATGCTCTCATTATCCCCATTTTTATAGAATGAGGAAAATTAAGGTTAAATGACTCACTCATGGTCATACACTTAGGAAGTATCTGAGCCTGAGTTCTAACTCAAGTATTCCTGTCTAGAGCTTTTTCTGATGCAATGTGAGTGTTGATGCTGGGACTTTAACCTAGATATTTTGATTCTAGGCAACATTTATGGTTTTTAGCAATTTTATCATCTGGGGGAGGTTTATAAAATCAATTTATCAATCAATAATTGAGTACTAATCACTAACATTTATGGACCAGGCATTGTTCTAAGCATGGGGATGAAAAGAGAAAGGTGGAAATCCCTACCCTCAAGGTGTTTATATTTTATGGCAAGAGAAAGTATTTATACATACATATATACACACAAAATAAATATAAGATAATTTGAGGGAAATGTATCTGCAGTGGAGAGGATTATTCCTTAAGTAGAAGGTGATATTAGAGCTGAGTTTTGAAGGAAACCAGGGATTACAAATGGTGATAAGGGAAGAGTGTATTCCAGGCATGAGGGATAGCATGTGCAAAAGCCTGGAGACAGGAAATGGAAAGTCACATATATGAAAAAGCAAAAAAGACCATTTTGGTTGGGCTGTTGGATAAGTGAATGGGAGTAATATTTAACAAAGTTGAAAAGCTAGTTTGGAATCAGGTGACGAAGGCTTTAGATGTCAAATAGAGACATTGGTGTTTGATACTAGAGGTAAAAGAAAATCACTGATTTATTGAACAACATCCATTGTTTTATATACTGTGTAATAGGTCATATGACATAGATAACTCTAGAGAAATCAGAAATACTAGTTTGGGGAAGATTCTTGTTATTTAAGATTCTTTTCCAAACAAATGGAAAAGAGACATATAATCTGTGACCACAATAACTAAGTAATGAAGTATTAGGCAATAAAAAGGAAGTGACAAGAACCATTACACTGACTCTTGAATTTCATTCCATGTGATTTTGATATGTACTGATAACAACACATCTTATCAATGTAATTTCATATATAAAACACTTGGGCCATAGGCAGCATTGCACCTGTGCTTTTCCGCCTCTCCATCTGCTGTATCACAGCCATTCAGATTCAGGTGACAGAAACCTTTTAGATGAAAGTTAATTAGCCAGTGTACTGCAGATCAAATCTTTCCAGTTTAGTGCCAAATGGAAACATTCCAGTCCAAAGTGTGGACTTGTGCCACCCATTTTCAAGTTTCAAGATGTAATTCATTTTTTTGCCTGAGTGGAGTAAAACAAAAACAAAAACCCCCAGCAGTCTTTTTAAATCTAATGCACATTACATGTTAAACTTTATATGCATTCAGGGGTTCCATATGCACTTCTGAATGTGCATTTAAAGACAAAGAAGAGAGGTTAGAAATAATTTGGAAAAGAACTGGAAGAATAATATGATTCGGAGCCATAAATATTCTCAATTTTGTTCTTTCCCCTGATTTGTTGGTTAACCTTCATTAAGAGCCTTAACTGTTTTTAGCGTCCCTACCTTTAAAATGGTCCCAATGACAATGACACACCTATTTCATAGAAATTCTTTCCCAGCTTCTTATCCCATCTACAATTCTGCTAGATCTTCAAGCTCATCTTGCATATAGCCTGAATGGGGTAGTCTATCTACTGCATTGAAATATACCCACCCATACTGCCACCAGTCCTTTACTCAAAATCCTAAAGAAATTGCTGAGAGAGACAGACAGACAGACAGAGAGAGAGAGAGAGAGAGAGAGAGAGAGAGAGAGAGAGAGAGAGGAGAGAAGCTATTACTCAGCCTCCCCCTTTTAAAGAACCCTAGGTATTGTAACGTTCACTTTAGATACCTAAGCCACTTTAAGCTTTAAATTACTTTTCCCGCAAGTTACAGATTTTTTGGAAATGTTCAAATAGTCTTAATTCTCAAAATCTCTAATGCTTCTGAGTACAGGGTGAAAATAGGGCCATCCTCTTCTCCTCAGTCAAAAAAAAAAAAAGTCAGGGCATCTGAGCTGAGCTGTCACACTGCTTTGCCCTGCTCGCCCAAGCAGCTCTCTCACAGTAGTGCACTTTTCCATACTGGGCTTTGCTACGGAATATTACTGCTATAGTTTCCGTACCCTCCTTCGAATCTGACACGACAGTTGCTGTCCAGCATTCTGAAACATCTTTTCCTTATTCCTTACTCGGGACCCACTGCCACTAGGGGGGTATGTACAAACCTCAGGGTTCTCACTTCTTACCAGAATGGGAGGAATCGTTCATACCTTTACTCCCCCACTTCCACCTATGTCCATTCAAAGCCAAAGAAACATTGCCTGTCCTCTCTCAGTATTACTCCATTGCTTTCCCTTCCCTATTCTTCTTCAGCCCTCTTTATGCTTTCGCTACTAATTACCACCTCCAACACATTCCATTATGGACCCTCCCTTACCTGACTCTTCCGCGGAAATTCGTAGCGCACTATACTGATTACTGGGATGTGCAAGACCGAGCTGATGAACTCGAGCTCGAGCATCTCCCCCTGGCTTTGGGGGAAGGCAAGCAACGCTGACACCCCTTGTACCACCACGGTGTGGCACACGCTCTGCAGGAATGAGACGGGGTCACTGCTCCAGGCTGAGCTCGGGGAGGAAAAGGGCAGGAGAGGGAGGTCCCCGAGTCCTGCCTCAATCGCCATCACCACTTCCAGGGACAGGTTGTAAGGCAACAGTCCCGACATGCGGTTCAGGTTCTCCACAGCGAAGAGCAGAGCATCCCGCGGAAAGAGTGTTGACTCGCCCGCGCCTCCCGGCAGCCCAGCCCCTCTGCTGTGCAGGGCGCTCCCAATCCAGCGGCTTGGAGCCTCTGCCCCAGCGACGGATGAGGGGGTCCTGGCCCGCCAACTTCTATCGCTCGTCTCTGCCGGTGCCACTGCAGCCAACGCCTCAGTCTCCGCCCTGGCCTGGCGGTCCAGGGCCCCTGCCGTTTTTCCTGCTGTGACAGGCGCCGTGGCGCCCCCAGGGTAGATGTCATTACGTTGCCCCCTTGCTCCTCTCCAGCCTTGTCCACTGCTGGTGGTGGTGCGGGTGGCTGTAGTCCAGGGTTGCAGGTGGACTGCCCCGATCCGCACTGTGTGCCCGATGCGCTTGAGGATCTGGCAGGGTTGCGGGTGGGATGAGGAGCCGGGGACCCTGGCCAGGACAAGCGCACAGGGCGGCAGCAGCAGCAGACAGATCCTGCTTAGAAGCCACCACAAACTCAGTCTCCTCATTACTGAGACCCGAAGCGGGAAATCCGGGGCGCCCCAGGGAAAGCGACGCCCCCCTCCCCCCCCTCCGCTGTCTCCAGAAAAAGGAGAATTCCAGAGAATCCAAGCCTGGTCCACTTACAATCTAACCCCGAGGGCTTGGCCCCTTTCTCACCGGGGGGGAGTAGCCAGATCCGCTCCGACCACTTTCCCAGCCATAAAAGTTGTTGCGGATCTTCCAGGCAGTCACTTTGGGCCGCTTTCGCCTTGAACCGGGTGGCTCCCGGAGCCGCTCTCCACCTCCTCCTCCCCCTCCTTGCAGCCCCTCACATCTCTCAACCCCCGGCTACCACAGCACCCCCAAAGCACCTTTCACTGCCCAGGAATTCCGTCAGCCGGATCTGCCCCATCCACAGCTCTTTGGAGAACTCAGCCCAAGGCGCCCCTCAACCTCCAGGGTTGCTGGGACAAGGCGACAGCAGGATGGATGTATATGAACCTTAAAACACCAACATCGAAGACAAAAACAGAGTCTAGGCAGCTGGACGTCTAACAACTTGCAACCGGTGATCCTGGGGAAATGGGAGGAAGAAGAAGAGCCACCCCCGAATCTCCCTCTTTATTGTTCCTTTCTGGCGACATCTGGACCTGGATAATTCCCGAGGCAGCACTGAGGTAAATTCACCCCCTTCCTGAAGGAAAAGGGAAGCCAGATCCACCTTGCTCCAGCGCTGGCTGCTGTTTTCTCACCTCGTGCTCTCTTCATTTTCCTTTACATGACTACCCTTTTCTTGCTTTTCTCTTTTCTTTCTTTCTTTCTTTCTGCTTGCTGCCACTCTCTTTCCTTGGTGAAATGCTGGTGCTACTGGGTAGTAAAGGCTTCTGTTAGAAGAGACAAAGTTATCCCCGCCCGCCTGACTCGCCCAGCCCGGCTCCTGTTGCTGGAGACGTGCCTTCTGCCTGTCGCTTGGCTGCGCTAAACTCCCACTGATCGTGATCTCCTCTGGAGGGTGATCAGACAGAACAGAGCCTCTGGAACCACCTCTCTCCTCGGAGGCTGGGATTTGTAGTCTTCTAAATCTCCTTCAGAGGAGGAGAGGACTTCAGTTTTCAGAGAGCCAATAGGGAGCTTCCCAATAGGACGCGGAGGCTGAGGGCTCCAAGTCCAGCCCTTTTCCAAGGATGGTTTCAGAGAACTGTTAATTTAAATGACTTCCTGCAATAGATCATTTTCACAGGTTTCCAGAGCAAAGGATATTTAAACAAGAATTATTTATACCTGCAGACATCTTCACTTACAGACCACCAGGCAGCACGAACTCTAAGTGGTTGGATTGTAAATATGGAAGTCTGGTCATATATCAAAGAATATGTTTGTGATGAAAATTAGAGATATTAAAAGCATATCTACAGTCATTCAAAATGAGGTTCAATGAGAGTTAATAATTGATCTGGGTCAGCGGCCAGTTTAAAGGAGACCCCAAAAACTTGTTTCCCCTTGTATTTTCTTTCTCTCCAGACCACTTCTTCCTCAAAACAAACAAAACACACCACAAAGCTTCTTATTCCTGCTAAATCTGCCCATGCATGAAAAAGTTAGCGCTAAAATGATTGATAATTGCTTATTATTGAAGATTTTAAAATGCCAGCCATGTCTTTGGATATTGGAAAGAAAAAAGGTAGTCCAGGAACAGGGTAGTACCTTCCACACTTAAACTACATTTTACAGCAGACACATTTTTTCTTTCTTTCTTTCTTTGTTTCAGTAATACAGTAGGGAGGTATTTAGGATAGGGAATTCTGAATTCTAATATCAGCTCTATAGAATTAGGGCTTTGCAATTTATTTCATTCGACCATGTTCTGGTTTTCTGAACTATTAAAGGCTTAGGTAAACATTTGCTACTTACTTTGTAGGGCTGTTTTAATTCACAAGATAGAGATTATATTTTGTTTTGGGGATTAAGAGGCTAAGGCTACATGGGGATAGGAATAGGAATGGGACCTGTGATTTCATTGGACTCCTTCTGCCTTTACACATTGGCACCTTCTTTGCAACTTATTGTCATGCCTAGAGCATGGAAAGGATAATTGAATTACTCAGGGTCACATAGTCAATTTGATTTTCAAGTGAGATTTGAATCCAGACCTTTTTGGCTTTGAGGTCAGCACTCTGTCCACAACACCATGTTGCCTCTTTAGAGCTATATACAAATCCCCATAAAAATAAAATTTTCTTCCTTGCACTTCCCATTATCCGCTTTGAGTCCAGACCTCTGATTTCACTGGTATAGATATTTGGTGAACTTCTGGTATGGAAACTCGATGATATAGATCAGCAACCATTCTAATACACAGTCTTACCACATTGCCTAGGGCACTGAGTGGTTAAGTGACTTGCCTATGATCACATAGGTACCTGAACCCTGGGCTTCTTTACTTGAAGGCCAGCTCTCCATTCACTTCACTCTCTTATCTCTCAGAGATCTGTATCCCAAATTAGAAGATCATTGGAATATTAAAATAGAGAAGGAAGGAACTTCAGAAGTCACTGAATCTAAGCCCCTCATTTTCTAGATAAGGCAATTGAATTCTAAAGAGGTTAAGTAACTCCCCCAAGGTCATTCAGATAATATTAGACAGCCTAGATATGGAAAGGGCCCCAGGGAGACTGATCTTAAAGTCGAAAGGGAGGAGGTATTGAAATCATAGTTTCCTACTTGTTAAAGCAAAGCTGTGCTAATTCAATAAATAAAACATAGAGAGTACAACAGAGATCTCTAAGTCTCTAGGAAGTCCATACATTTTCTCATATGGGGGCTTCCAGAAGTCTTAGTACATTTCTGAGTTATTACAGTTTCAAAATGCACGAAGACTTTTGGGACACACTGTATTAAGTGCCCACTTCAGAAGATGATTGCTGTTGCTGTTTTCTACCTGAGGAGAGTATCAGACTTCTCCTTTCTCTCTCTCTGTAACCTAAATACACTCTTTGTAGTTCCCAAATGACGAAAGGATTGAAACCTATTTGATCTGTAGTGAACAAAGGGTAAGGAGCCCTTTGTGACTTCTTCAGTTGTGCCCCAACATTTCTGACCCTGGCATAGCTTTAGAGTACTGATTTAGTACTTCATTGGTCACTCATCTGTCCACAGCTAGTTCTTAGAAGTTGGACAAAGTAAGAAAAGAATAACATTAGAGAAAAGATGGGTCTCCTATAATTGCTAATGTAATAGCTTTGTCCCCATAGCTAATTTACTTGAAGGCTACTGAAAGTCCATAAATATCTGAATATCACTAAAGAGATTGTTGAAAGTAACTTTGTAAAGCTGAAATGGATTTGTCAAACATGGGATAGTCAAGATGTACAAAGAATTTGTTAGGCTTGTGGACATATTTTGCTAAGCACAAAGTACTCTCTCTCTTCCTTTTCATTCTTTCTGCTTGTTTCTCCACTCCTTTCTATCTTTCTACATTGATGCCATTTCACTATTCCTGTTTGTGTTTTTTTTCTCCTTTCCCTATCACTTCAGTCTTTGTCATGTTGTTCTTTATAGTCAGATAATCCTTCCAAGAAAACAGTCCATAGTAGGAAAAGCACTGGATTTGCTTCTTTGGTGGGGTTACAGATGTCTACTATTGAGGTAGAGTTGCCGTTGTTCCTCTGAGTCACAGGTGCTGATGTTCTTTGGCAATTACTGATTCCCAACATGTACCAATGATGATCTTTTGAGAAGCAGCCTGAGTTAATTTGGATAACTTTTCCCAGCTGCTTGAGAGGAAGAGCGATGGAAAATTAGAATTGCAGTATCTATCTATATTTCAAGATTCACTGGAAGTGCTGACATAAATAGGAAATATGGGTTACTATGAGGAGCAAAGAATCTTTTCTGTGGAGTCTAAGCCTGTGGAATCTGAGTATTTGCAGAAAAAAAAAAAAGTTTCTAAAGGCTGGAGGAACTCTGACCAGAGGTTTGACAGAATTACAATTGTAACACTATAAGGTGATGAATCAGGATAATCTTTCCAAGGGTAAGCTACTTGAGAGCTGGTCCCCTAGCAAGGAGCTGATGAATACCAACTTCCAGAAGAGAATTGACTTGTAAGAAATCCCAGTGATCACAGGTGAGCAACATCATTAGAGATAGGATCAGCAGGGCTCAGGGAGGATAATAACAACAGGGAGAACAATGGAACTCATAATACCTAATGAGAGTGAAGATCTGCAAGGATGAAAGGCCAATAAGATAGGGATAAAGGAGGAGGCAACTAGATGGCTCAGTAAATAGAGCTCTGGCCTTAGAGTCAGGAGGACCTGAGTTCGAATCTGCCCTCAGACACTTGACACTTACTAGCTGTGTGACATTTACTAGCTGTGTGACCCTGGGCAAGTCACTTAACTTCTATTACCTCACCTATATACATATACATATATATGTACATATATATATGTACACATACATATATGATATGGATAAAGGAGCCTTGGAGGGGAACATTGGTTGGAGAAGTAAACTCCAGTTTCCCTCTTTACTTGAGAAGTACCATTGTTGTTGTTTAGTGGTTTTCAGTTGTGTCTGATTCTTTGTGACTCCATTTAGGGTTTTCTTTGCAAAGATACTAGAGTGCTTTGCCATTTCTTTCTCTAGCTTATTTTATAGATAAGGAAACTGAGACAAATAGGGCTAAGGGACCAGCCCAGGGTCACACAGCTCAAAAGTGTCTGAGGCTGGAATTGAACACGGATCTTCCTGAGTCCAGGCCCAGCACTATATCCACTGCACCACCTAGCTGCCCAGGAAATACCATCAGTTACTGCATTTCAAAAAGTCTGTGTGGGACTTTGCAGACTGAGTGGGAAGGTATCTTTTGACTTGGTAGCCTTCGATATGGATTGTTGCAGTATCCTTTAATTTATAAAAATAAAAACAACCCAAGTTGTAAGGGGAGCTAGTCACTGCTAGGGAGGAATGTCAGAAGCTGAAACTTTCTAGGTTCTGTAAGTCAATGAATTGGAGAAGACAG